TTGTGTAATCCAAGTGCCATTAATGACAGGTAAAGACAGGAGCGGATAGGAAAAGAATAATTACCATTGAACTAGCCTGAGCTATGTCAGCGTTTCCGACAAAAAAGTTGTCAGTAATAAAAGGAAAAATTAGGCCCGTTTCAGTTGTCGATCTTTTGTCGCATCTAATCTAATTGGTGGAGTTGAGTTTATGAGCATTTTGTACTCTGAATTTATTGACATTAGTAGATTTTGTTCAGTTGGACAAACTTACTATAATCCGTAAATATCAATTGATGAGACTGCAAACTTCTCGAGAACTGCATGTAAGCAATTAGATTAGACGCGACAAAAGATCGACGTCTGAAACAGGCCTAAGGAACAACAACGTTTTGAAAGCCTGCTGATACTGCTGTTTCATCAAGATATACATGTTTATCATATAATTATCTATGAAATACCTATATTTCTCCATTTCGTAAAATTGATATTTTCACTAGTGAAAATAACACATAATCATTAGAGGTTTCTCTATATAGTGGAAGAAAGAAAAAAGGTATTTTACAACATAATTTGCTTTCATATTTAATTATATGATAAACAGAATATTACATGGTCGCTTGGAGATACGAATTTTATCTTCTCGTGTTGAAAATCTCTTCTGAGATCTTTTCAACACTCGAAGATAAAATCCGTATCTCTGCGCGTCCATGTAATATCCTCTATATGTGTATTCATATCAATGTGTGTGTGTGTTTTTTCCCAGGTTGAACGCAATTCAGGATCTTATGGCTGTACCTGGAACTGTCGCAGATATAAAAGATGTTTTGAAGACTCTACCTGACTTAGAAAGACTGCTTAGAAAGTGAGCTCAGGAAACGAATGTTTGAACAACCAGTTCCCATGGATGTACCATTTTTATGTTACTGTGATATTTTAATTTTCAACTAACGGTACTTTCCAGAATTCATAGCATGGGATCCCATAAGAGGGCCATTGATCATCCTGATGGTAGAGCTATACTGTACAACGAAGATACCTACAGGTTTACTTACTTGATTTTTGCTTGTGGGACGAGTCTATTTTCATCATTTATATTTTCACTTAAATCTCTTGAAGCTGAAATATCTGATGTTTATGAAATGTTTGTAGCAAACGCAAGATAACAGACTTTCTTAGTGCGCTGGAGGGTTTCTCAAATGCATGTTCTATCATCAAACTCTGCAAAGATCATACTGATAATTTTAAGTAAGTAATTCTGGACTTCCTTCCCTCCGATCTCTTTCCTTTACTTCCTCTCTTCTCTTCCTTTCTTTGTTTCACTTTCTCCCCTCCCTTCTCTTCATCTTCAACTTTTTTCTCTTTTCTCTACTTTCCTTTGATTTCCTTCTCTTTGCCTTTCGTTCTATTCTCTTGCTTCCTTTCCCTTCTCCCTCCCTCTTCACTCTTCCCTCTCTTCTCTTGCTTTCTTTACTTCCATTTTCTCCCTTCCTCTTCACCCTAACCTCTCTCCTCTCCTTTCCTTCGATTTCCTTCTCTCCCCTCCCTGGTCCCTCTCTTCTCTCCTTTCCTTTGATTTCCTTCGCTTCCCTCTTTGCCTTTCCCTCTCTTCTCTCGCTTCCTTTGCTTCCTTCTCTTCTTTCTCCCATCCCTTCCTCTTCTCTCCCTTTCTTTGCTCTGTTCTCTCCTTCCTTCCCTCTTTTGCCTCCATTTTTTGCCTTGTTTAATCTTTTCTTTTAAATCTTAGTTCAAAACTACTTAAACAAGTTACTACCTATGAAGGCACAGCTAATAATGGCGGAGGAAGATTTCCAGAGCTCAGTGAGACACTTGACTTCTTCAAGGTATATGATAGTCCTTTATTTTTGTTGCCGTTGTCATTATAATGGTGATTGTTGCCGTCAATGTTACGACGTACATTAGTAGAAAAAAAGTATTCTGCTCCTTCATGGCTGCTCGTGTCATCTTGAAAGATATAAACCATGCCTCTGCATCAAAGCAAGACATTTGGGAAGCTTGCAATTATAGATATCTGTGAGGAATTGAGGTGTGAGAGAAACGCTTCTATCATTGCATGCTCACTGGTTGAATTGCATTGATAAACACAAGATTACTTTTCAAAATGACACAGGGAGATAATACGACACTTGAAGGATACAATGAAGACAACAGTTGATCATATTATTATTTGTCATTGTTATTTTTGTCATTGTTGTAAGCTATCCACTGTTTTTAGGGTGCTTTTGACCATGGAAAAGCCAAGAAAGATGGTGTCATTGTTCCCAAACCAGGTAGCTTAATGCTGCATGAAAACTATTATTTTCCATTGAATATTGCAATACTGCCAAGTCAAACGTTAATGGCTTGCTTACCAAAAATGATTAAAATCTGATTTTTCAGATGTGAATGTGCCKTATGATGAAGCATTAGATGATATAAAAACCTGTAAAAACTGGTTTGACAACTATCTTGACAARCAACGGAAGAGATTAAACTGTAGGGTAGGTAATGCACAACCGGTTTAACTCGTTTTCAACCTGTTTTTTGATGCTTTATGTTTGGATTTTTTACAGACAATTGGATACTGGGGAACAGGTGAGCCGCTGTATTAGAATGTAAAGAGAGCGTTTTCCATACCTTGCACAGTAAATCCAGGAAAATAAGAACCTAGCCTTTTTATTATAAGTGGCTTTTAATTTAAAACCAGGCTCGATATGTTCTTTGATTTTATTGATGGGCCTAGCCTGTTATGTTAAGTACGGTTCATACTTAAAAAATATGGCTGCAAGTACTGTGATATTTTATTATTAAAACTGATTGAAAATCGGRAAAACGCAAAAACTCCTAGAATACTCTTTAAATTTAATGCAGTTATAAAAATCGTAGCCAGAAAACACCACATGTACAAGATCTTGAAAAATAGTCATTGGAAATCAAATTGTTGTGCTTCTAACATGAAAAGTCTTGGAATTTTGATAGCATGAACCCTGTCACACATTGTAGGATTTTTATAATTCACAATGTTGACTTTTTGTCTATTTGAGACAAATTTTAAGSGACTTTTACTCGATTACAATGAAAAAAATCGCGCACTTTTGATGTAAATAGGATTGTAATCAAAGTTGCAAGTACTGGTAATTCATCAGTTGTGTTGTTGTTGTTATCACAGCTAAGAACCGCTATCAACTAGAAGTTCCAGACTCTGCATCCAAACATACACCAGACGAGTACTCTCTTCAGTCKCAAAAGAAAGGTTATAGACGGTACTGGACACCAGACATAGAAGACCAGCTAGCAACSCTTGTCGATGCTGAGGACCGTCGAGACGTAGCTCTCAAAGACACAATGAGAACAATATTCCAGAAGTTTGATACTCAGTAAGTCTTGAGTGCAGTGAAGGTTTCAATTGATTAGAATAAAACTGGTGGATATTTGTGAGAAMATTAACCAGGGGCAAGTGCAAGAGATTCCGGAACCCCTGCCTTGGAAGACAAACTCTCTAAAATATGAGGCTTTATTTGTCAAATAAATAAAGTAATACATTTTGAAATAGTCCTTTTTTTCAGTCTGGACCCAAAGCAACACTCGTGCAATTTTGCAGCAAGTTGGTTTCTTCACTGTTTCAAAACTGCAAAAATACCCGGATTGCCCTCTCCTCCAACCCTCCGCCTTCTCTCTYTCTCCCCCTCTTTAAGCCCTAAGGCGCACCCCTGTTTATTGTAATTGGTTTTCGACCCACAAAACAACGGAAACKAGTTTAAATGCAAATATGAAAACTTCAACTTCATACTTCTCTCCTTATTTGTAGCTATGACATGTGGGACAAGGCAGTTCAGTGTCTTGCTGTTCTGGATGCACTTATTTCCTTGACAACGTACAGGTAAATATGATCATTGAGCATGCTCAGTAGCAAAGTTTCTATAAAATCTTACTGGAAGTTGTTTATCAGTTGTCAGGGAGACGGGCCAATGTGCAGACCTGAAATTGTTCTACCGCAAACTTCGTCTGACGGCAGTATTCAGGTAATGATATTAATAACATTAATATAATAATAATATTATCTGTTATTACGAGCATAGTCCTTATTACATACCGCGGAAAGCCTTGTGACGCAATGCATTTTGGGATTGATAAATGAGTAAACAAGGAAGCAACGATGTCAGTGCTCCAGTTGTCTGTGACGCAGACTCAGTTTTAACGAAAAATATTGGGAAATATTGACATTGTAGTTAATCTCAGAAGCATATTGCGGAAAAAAATATTAACAAGCCATAGCAAAGACAGCAAGAAAACCTCCCAAAAATGTACAGTTAATCGAGAATTTCCATTTACTAGGCAAATCAAGCAAAAATGAAAACAAACATTTTGTCTGTGGAAAAATCTGAACTAATTGTGTTTTTTATGATTTTAGCTATTTTTTATGATAAATGGAGATATATATCCCATGACACATTGCAAACCGATTCAAAATGGCGGGCTTGTAACATGTTCTTATAGTATGGTTGYATTTCCTTCAGCCATTCCTTGAGATTCGAGAAGGACGGCATCCTTGCATATCWCGCACGTTCAGTGGAGGTGACTTCATACCGAACGATACTGTGGTTGGGATACCAGACGTAAGTAACATCAAAGTGAGTTTTCGATATTTTAAATTTCTAAACCTTTAATAACTTTACCAGAATAGACTTAAGTTTTTACGCGACCAACTTGATTTGCAATTCATAGTGGAATCAAAAAGTGAAAAAATAAAACATCAGTTCAACGAACGCTCGTTCTGCTCCCTCCCATCCCTCAACACAGTTTTGTGTTTAACAAGCAAGTGCAATCTTCAAAAAGCATTTTAAATGGAGGGGGATTCGGAGAGGCAAGTAAATATGGAAATACCTCAGCAATACTTATCGAATACAGAATTTTTTTACAAAAATTGTCAAATTCTTATTGTCCAAGATAGTAAGATCTAATTATTCACAGAATAAGATAAAAAATGCCTYTGAACCTTTYACSTCATATATCGTATACGCAATGCATTGTATGTAGATTGTGTTTGGGTCAAAATATGGCGGATTTCTGAGATAAATGGTGCATTTCTTCTCGACATTTTTGTCCAACACTGTAGCCTGGTTGGATTTGACGTTTGCTATTCGGTGTTTTATTGTTGTAGGAGAGTGAAGGCGATTCAAATAACGAAACACAGAATGCACAAAGCCTTTGTGTTCTGGTAACAGGACCAAATATGGGCGGTAAATCAACACTGATGAGACAAGCTGGCTTGATAACAATCATGGCACAACTGGTGAGGAAGACACCTTAGGCGCTTTTCATTTGTCAGATCTGACTGGTCAAACCTAAAGGGAATTCCATTACTAATCAATTTTGTTCAAAGAATCAGTTTCTAAATTGTATCCAATATAATAATGGAAAACTTGAAAAATTACTGAAAAAATATCAACAAAAAGCATGATTTACTTAAAAATAGATTGAATGGCGCCCACCAGTTCTCTCTCAATGGTATGCGCACTTAGATAGTTACGTAAGTTAAAGTGCAAACACTAAAAGCGTGGAAAAATMATTAACCAAATAGTGCTAAATAGCTCAGTATAGTTGACACTTAGACCTCGAGGTCGAGTGGACTACGAGCTAATAGCCCATGAGGCCGAGTCCACGAGGCTGAGAGGTCTAATTGTTTTAGTATAAACATACTAATCGGTCAAATACTGAAAACAAATTTTAATATCCTTAAAATAATGTATACTTTATAATATATTTTATTTTGATTTTCCCGCGAGTGGTCTATCACAAATTAGACCATTAGTAGAGTAGCCAATCACAGCGCAGTATGAGTGATAGACCATTAATATGTTCATACTATTGTAGATTAGACATTAGAAAACAAATTTAGAACTTAATTTTTCCATGTTTTAGTGTTTGGACAAAAAAGGGTATTGCTTTAATATTGTTYGTTTTCTTTCATAAGGGATGCTTCGTTCCTGCAGAAAAGTGTCGTTTAACGCCAGTAGACAGGGTSTTCACTAGACTTGGTGCGCATGACAGAATCATGGCAGGTATTCACTCAAYCTCACTCTAGAACCCACGTTCCTCTCGGTCTGCGTCTAAGCGGGAACATGGACTCTGAATATTTCTTTTTAAGATTATTTACGCTTTCTCTCATCTTCTAGTACCATCAGAAGCACCAATCGTAATCCATACATTATCTGTTATTTTCCAGGAGAGAGTACTTTCTTTGTTGAACTGAGTGAGACGTCGACGATATTACGYCATTCAACCGCCAATTCACTTGTTTTGCTGGACGAACTTGGTGAGTTACGACGATATAACATTATATATTGGTGGTCGATATATAGAGGTCTGGCTGTACCTTTATTCAGGGTTCGTGCAACATTTTCACTACAAAATTCCAGGACTTTTCAAGTACTTTTTAAGCATAAAAATGCGATTTTCAAGGAGTATTTTTGAAGATATTTTCAGATGTTTGCGGACGTTTCAATTGGCGATTTTTTTTAAATAGCCACATTTCAATCCAAAAGCTAACAATCAACATGTCAATTTTATCAGATTCAAGGAGTTTTCCAGGAGTKTCAGCGATTTTCCCAATTTTCAAGGGCTTTCAAGCGTCCTTGTAAACGAATTTTCAATTCCAGGACTTTTCAAGGAGTTTAAGGAGTAGCACGAACCCTGTTTATTATTGTCGGTCAAAGTACACAATACACAGTGAGGTCTGGTCGTAACTTTTTTTGTGGTTACTCATGTTGTAATCTTCGAACCATGATGTTTTCGTGCATACCTAGGCAAGTAGACATTTTCGGCACGAGTTCGCACACTTGTCGGGTGATTTTTGGAATCATTTCGTCAAATGCTTTTTTCCGTCGATGTACAAAGTCGATACAAAGCCTCTGGCTATTATTATTATTATTTTCATATTTTTAGGTCGTGGTACAGCAACGTTTGATGGTACTGCCATAGCCTGCGCAGTTGTCCGCGAGCTCTCGAGMAATATCCGGTGCCGGACACTTTTTTCTACTCATTACCACTCCCTGGTGGAAGATTTTGCCAATGATCCTAATGTTCGTCTTGGACACATGGTATGATGCAATGCACAATAAGTAGGATGACTTCACTTGTTTTAGATATATTTTTTAAACGGAAAATTTCACCATATACTGACCATAGAATCTATACACCCTTTTAATAAGTCCAGGGGTATTGAGTTCTCCGCACTTGACGTCAAATTTATTCTTTTGAATTTTTTTACAATACAAAAGGAATTCAAAAAAATAAATTTGACGTCAAGCGCGGAGAACGCAATACCTCGGGACTTATTAAAAGGGTGTATAAGAAAGTAGAAAGCCTTGCTCCTCTTGTTTGGATGTCGTTCACCAAAAACTATATACATCAATCAAACTATTTCAGAATCTTGTGGAAAAAATTGTAAAAAAAAATGGATAAAGAGAAGAATAGAAAATAGTGGAATTAAAAAGAATATACGATGAGAGAAAAATGAAACCTCRAAAGCGACGCGAAAAGAGAAACRAAGGTTGACGATRATGTTTTTGTTTACAGGCGTGTATGGTTGAGAACGATGACGAAGARGGTGATCCAAGCAAGGAAACCATCACCTTCCTGTACAAGTTCGTGAAAGGCGACTGTCCCAAGAGTTATGGMTTTAATGCGGCACGACTCGCAGGCATTCCAGACGAGGTAACAAAACTTAACTGTTGTTAGTGATGTTGCTGGTGTTTTTGTTGTTATTCTTGCCGGCAATTTTATGGTTTTATTGCTGTATCATTAATTTTCTATTCTTCTCTTTCACTGCTACACTAGATTATCTCCGTTGCTGTTCACAAAGCGCGAGAATTTGAAGAAACACTCGATGAAGTCAAGCTTTTCAAGTAAGAGTACATAGAATTCAGTCACTCCCATCATGCATCTCGTCAAAAACTGGATGACGTCATAGGGGCATGGGAGTGAGACCATCTGCTAAAGCTGCACTATCATTACCATACTAATCAGCTATTCACATTCATTACAGGTTGATCACGAAGAATAAGTCAAGACAGAATGYTATACGACTGATTAAACAGAGATTGGTACACTGAAAAGCTATTGAGCTAGAAGAAGTTCATGAACAMATAGTTTAGATGTAGTACATGGACCAATGTCGCTCTCTAGTGACTTTTTTACCCATTTTTTCTATCTGTTTGTGCACTCTTCCAGTTGAAGAACCAGTGAAGAATACCGATGCAAAAAGCAAAAGTAAGAGTATATAAAATGGTCGTGTGTAAAAAAGATATAAAAACATTCTTAGGAATAATTTTGAAACATAAAAGTTAAGTAAAGATATCGTACTGATTGATAGAATTCATAATGCCCGTTTTTAACTCCGAATCTCACATGTATTGAAGTCGGTACAGATGAAATGCAATGAGCAGATTGGAGTAATTTGCATTGATCTCGAAACAAGTAAAATTCGACGTTAAACAAAAACGGGCCTATAAGTGTGTGAATAGTCACAATGAATCGGGGATGTTATAATTGGTTTGTAATAAAATATTTAAAACCAATCCATGCTTTATGTCTCTTATGATATGGAAAGCTGCCTTTTTACCAGCGAGACTAACAGTGCGCATGTGCATTTGAAAATGACACAGGAAACCCAAGTTRAGTATTCAGTGAATACGATATTTTTGAATGAAAAAAATACGTAAAGCACTACTTGTTTCCAGTCATTCAAAAACGTCTTCAGCTTGTCACTGAATGATTAGCTTGGGCTGCCTGTGGATCAAATTCGACTGAATCGCGATATATAATACAAACGCACTCCAAATAGAAAACTGCTGGCGATGTGAATTCGAACCTGCTCTAACATTTTCCAATGCCTCTAACCTTGRCTGTAACTGTATGTATGTTAATAATTTAGCTAGGATAGCGGCAGACGTCACCTGYAGTCGTTTATTTTGCGGTCGGTACTTTAATATGGATATTTTTAGTATCCTTCCGAGTTGCCAGGAGATACCTGACATAGTCTGACGCAGTTCAGAATGTTGCGCACTCACGCCGAGTTGACGAAAAAAACTGGAAATGCATGGCAGTACAATTGCGGGTCGGACGGATCGACCAAATTTATGATGGGGACGTACTAAATGAAACGGACTGAGTATAATCCCTATTTTATTTGTACTAATTTTTTTGAAATATTAACTGCCAGTTTAAAATGAAAACGAAAAGATGAGAACTGGAAGCCAGGTATTCTTATCGATGAATAGTGCGAGGTCGTCGAAAATATCACTTCGATCCCTGTCTCTGTTCACTAGACTATTGCAAAATACTAATTTCTAAGCCACGTGCAGGAATGCCACGATGATAAATCCTTGTCTGATGCAATGTAATGTTTTAGCTTCAGTTGAGTGAAACGAGGGTATGTCCGAAGGAGTGTCTTTGTTACGGACCAATAAAATTACATTTTCGCATACCTAAAATATCAGCCAATCACTGGCCTGTTCTTTMTCATTCTCTTTCGTGTTACCACAAAAAACAACCAATGAAAAAGCTTGATATATATAGGAAGATGAGAATAAACCAATCACAGGAGTCGTAAGAATAGATTCGTGCTCCACTGCACGAACGGATGAGTACTTTTACGACGATGAATTGTAAAGACAGTAAACAAAATGTGGCGGCGAAGTTTGATGGTATTAAGTCCRAAATYACTAAGAAATTGTACTGCGTGTAATGTTAAAAACCTTAGAAGAGTTWTTCTATCTCAGGATGTTATTTTAAAGCGTTTTTCGGCGACRCAAGCGAATGTTAACAACAACGAAAATCCCAAAACTCTTCGTCTTTGGAGCGATAGTGGAGGGGATGATGTCGATTCTAGTCCTTTCGACGATCTTGGAGCGTGGCATGAAGCAGAAGCGAAATCATTTCTTCATAACGTTGCAGTAGACAAAGTAGGGGCCAGTACTAATGAAGGAAAAAGAACTTACAACGAAGATCGCTTCCAAATCCTAGAGCTTGACCCCGACTTTTACTACTTCGCAATATTCGATGGACACGGTGGTTCTGAAACTGTGGACTTTGCTCAGAACCAGTTGCATAAGATAATTCAAAGACTTCATCGACAAAATAAAGACTTAGAAAAAGTTTTAGTTGAAGCCTTTGAAGAGTGTGATCAYGAACTTAAGAAACATATAAAGTGGCTTGTCGATGAGCAAGGTTAGTGTTTTGGCGTTTCGCAGGTGGAACTATATGGAGTAATTTTCCGTGACAAAATTAAATTTCTATAATATTCAACTAAAAGTCCAGAGAAACAGATATAAATTATATAAGACAGTGTATTTAAAAGTCCATTTATTTTTATAGAAAGGGTGCCTTTTTAGTGAGTTTTTGAACAATTTGTTTGTAGGGATTATGTATTATTATTATGTAATTCAAAGATCTCGAACGTGAATGTTTGTGCACATACTGTACTTGAAAATGAGAGCCTCTGTTTTAAATATCATTGGCGTGCAGCTCTCAAATTGCATGATGTTCATGTCTGGCGAACTCGAACTTGGTTAATGTATCTCTAAAAGGATTTTAAAAAAACTCTATTCTTGTAGCTATTTCAATTGTAGGTGTGAGGTCAGAATGCCCAAGTAACAGTTCCTGTGGGTATTGTTTAGTGATGGCAACATTCACCCATCAAGGCAGTCAATACTGTTATTTTCATTATTAAGATCTGAAGATTTTCAGTGTTGATGTGTTTGGTTTTTCATTGTTTTTCAGCAGATAATGATTAATAATAATAATAAAAAAATTTTTTTAATTGAATTATGCTCTGTCACATTATGCTCCAACAACCATTTGAATATCAATATTAAACCCCTTAATGTTAAATAAACTGTTTGCAAATTGCTGAATTATACTTTTATCTCAAGGATGTGATGAGTCAGTTGGAAGAAGCGGCACTACAGCCACAGTAACTCTTCTGAGAGATGGCACAGAGCTGGCTGTAGCAAGTGTAGGAGATAGCAGAGCACTACTCGGCCGGAATGGAGAAACAATTTGCCTTACAAACGATCATCATCCAACCAGAAAGGATGAGCARGAAAGAATAAAAGCCCACAGCGGCTGGATAGACAAGAACTTCTCAATTCCTCGAGTTAATGGCAGACTTGCCATGACAAGATCTCTAGGTGACTTTGACGTTAAACCTTACGGTGTCATTCCAACGCCGGARACAGTKTTGCTAAAAATAGACCACCAGAATGATGCRTTCTTGGAATTACATACTGATGGGGTGTCCCATGTTATGTCTGGGAATGAGATTGGTTTCATAGTGCGTATGTGTTCAGATCCTCAAGAAGCAACAAATTCATTGACCTCCTGTGCACTGCAGTATGGTGCTGAAGACAATGTTACCTCCGTTATTGTGCCTTTAAGAGCTTGGAGGAAGTTTTGTGCACAAAATGTCACCAAAAATAATATCATGAGGATTAACTGCATCTAATAATTAAATTGTACCAGAAACCAGCTATAAGGGACTTGAACCTTGTAACGCCTGGACATTTCCTTAGTACCAAGTGTCGGAATRTTCAAAGCTCATTAAAAATTCAAAAACAAACGTTGTGACCATATTTGGAAAATTCTGCTGTTGGATAAGAGATTTAAGGCCCGTTCTGGTTGGCTAGGGTAAATTTAATTGTTCCAAATATGGTCAAATAAGGAAATGAGATGCAAATCAGATTTGAATATTCCAACGGTTGGCACGGCATTACAAGTTTCAAGTCCCTTATACAGGGCTCGAAATAACAGCCAGTCAAAGGACAATGTCTTTCCAAATTTGCTAGATGACCAGCCAAATCGGGTTTTGAAAGGACAAATTGACCTGCCACATTTTTAGACAAATCAATTCTCAATTCGCTAAATAAATCTTTTTTACAAGCCATTAAAATGCTTGCCGATCTTTCTGAATACAAAAACTTAGATTAAAAGAAATAATAATTTATTACTAAAGTTTTTGTCCTTTCAAAACTTGACATGACCTTCCAAAAATGAATTTGGAAGGACATCTTGTCCTGCATATGTCTGGCTGTATATCAGGTTTCTGATTGTACATAAAGTATATCAACTCTCATGGTAATGTGAGTGCATCTTTTGGACTGTAATTTGCAATATTKTCAGTGTCAGCTGTAAAGGGATTCTTCGTAATATTAGGGTGTGCACAAATGTGAGAGTTATTTTTTTTTTAATCTTTGAAAATATAAAGTGCTATAAATATTGAATATGACATATAAGTGTCATTGCAAAAGTCTTAGGAAGCTAATTTCTGTAAGTACTTTTAAATTTAATCAGGAGGCTATTTGCACAAAGCTGTCTTATTCTTTCAGTCATGAACAAGGCTAATAATGAATTGAGAAAGAAAAGACAGCATTTATTTTGTGCAAATAAAAATTATATAAATGTAACATGGCAAAACAAGGTTTTATAATCTTTATAATTTGTTTCCACTCTATATCTATATTTATCCTATTTATCCTGATAAATATTTTTTACACAATTTCTTTGATCACTTGAAATGCATGTGAAACAGTTTCCAATGTTATCCTTTAGTGTCTTCAGTTTGTAAATCTTATTTTCATTGCATGATGCAGTTAGGCCTTAATTGAATATACATAAAACTCACTTTGGAGGTAAAGTAGTCTCCTCTCGYAGCYRTWAGGAYGTTCGTTTKCAGGTCAYTTCTCYCTAGAAGTGRCCCTAACAGCTGTGAGAGGAGCTAAGGTAAAGGCCACAAAAAAAAAGATTTAGAAACTGGAGTAATATGGGATGCAGTGATCGGAATAATAATTACCGCAAATTCTACTTGATGCATTATTTATATTTCTCATACATTTGTTATGTATTTAATATGTTTTTAAAGGCTTGTCACACATCTATTCRTGCAAAATTCACATAAGTGGTTTCCAGAATGTACATTTTGTGTGTAATTGCATGATTCTTATCTTATTTAAAAGTAAAACAGATAAATAAATATAAATATAACAGAATTTTGTATTTTGTATCCACCCTCAAATTTAAAACAAAAGCCTGGTAATAACTGACAAATCAAAACATAAACCAGAAAAAAAACCCAGCCCTTTTATACAAACATGAAAACCTACCTATCTTTTCCACTGTGCCGAAAATGCCATTATGCATTTTTTTGGCAATTTTTTTCCTTTTTTTTCAAATGAAAAATAATGTTTTTGAGCCATAAACCACTTATATTTACACTATTTAAATATTCTTACCTTAGTTTTATATCATTTCTCATTTTTTTCTTTTCTAAACTTTAATTTTTTTCTTTCACTTTCTCTTCTTACTTCTACAAGTGTAAAATATCATTTGTGATTTTACAGTATAACTAGTAAGAAGTTTCATAGTTTTCATGTAATTAACTTTTATAAAAAATGTAAAAATATGCAGGAGGGAAAAAASAACTTTTGAAAACCCWTAGCCATTGTATTGCGCCAAATGACTCATGGGAAAYTCAAACCTACAATCCCTTGCGGTCGGATTATTTATTCAAAAACCATATAAGGTTGGGCGGGAAAATCCGTTGATTTGATTGGATAGTATTTCAAATTTCTCGTTTCTGATTGGCTAGTGKACGTTCAAATGAAGTCAGTGGTTTTGGCGCTCTCTTGCACAGTTTAGCATTTGTTGGCGTTACTTTGATAKTTGAAGACGAAAGATGGTGAGTAAAAGCRAATAGAATCCGCTTCCATCCTTTGAATTTACTGAAGCTTATTGCTCACTTACACAAAATATGAAACCTGAAACATTAAACTATCGATTTGGATGCTTATTTATTGTGACTTCTTCCAGTTAAGAGTAAATCTTTGACTTTCTTTATGTTGTTTTCCTAGGCGGGAGGCAAAGCTGGTAAAGATTCGAAAGCAAAGGCCAAGGCCGTTTCAAGGTCCGCCCGTGCAGGATTACAGGTACATAGATAGAGGGAACTACTGCTCATGATATCTTTACGTTCTTGAGTATATATKTTAGAGCTTTTTGTGAGAATAGCTTGATGTTCGTTGCAGTTTCCAGTCGGTCGTATTCACAGACATTTGAAGAACCGAACGACAAGTCATGGGAGAGTTGGAGCAACTGCAGCAGTTTATAGCGCGGCTATCCTCGAATATCTAACCGCCGAGGTAAAAATTTGAATCTTTTCTGATTTTTCCACTAATTAGTGGTATTTTATTGCACTTTTTACGTTCATGAGATCTCGAACACTCGAGCAAAGTCGAGCTACTTTTGGATTGCGCGCCATTTCTCTTCTATTGTTTGCTTGTTTTGAACACCATTAGTAACACAAACTTTCCACAATATCTTGAATTTTTCTAAAGCAATATATCTCAAATCCTACTTTAGCTCGAGTTTTAGAAGTTTTTTGCTCGTTTGTAGCAATTTCATCAGTTACAAGCATTATCCTTTGGTTGTTTTGCCGTTACGAATGTGTTAGCGAGTTGTATTTCGCGCCATATTTGAATTGACCAAACGATTTTATTTTCCGGGTGATTCCTTGAAATATCTCGAGTTTTTGCTAAATTTCGACGTAAAAGGTACATTTCTACTACATTTAACGGTTTTGAAGTTAAATTTGGGTTAATKTTGTAGTTTTATGGGCTATTTTTTTGATGTTTGTTCAGAGAGTTGTAATGGCGTCTTTTTGATACTGAAAATTATACTTGCAAATTAGGTAACCGATTTTTCATGCATTGAAAGGCATGCAAAACTTAWAATAGATGTCATTAAAAATATTATCTTAAACTGACTTTTGATCACTACTAATGGATCTTATGATCAGCCAAACTTTGCAACTGAAGTGATTTCATTTACTCGGGTATCTTTCAAATGCTTGTTTTCATTRTTGACAAAAAYGTATTTGAACTAGATCCAGGTTTCCTATCCAAAAATCAGAAAGACTAAACCAGTTGATTCAAACTAGATTCAACTTTAAAATTGTTTGGTTTGCTTTAACATTATAGGTATTAGAATTGGCAGGCAATGCTTCTAAAGATTTGAAAGTAAAGCGTATCACTCCTCGCCATCTTCAACTTGCCATCCGAGGTGATGAAGAATTAGACTCTTTAATCAAAGCTACAATTGCTGGAGGAGGTAAGAAAACCGTAAAATTACAGAAATAACTTTTAGTCTTGTGTCAGAGTAGTTAAATAAGCACATACAGACATAGCAAGCTAGTTGTTAGATCAGTTGAAATCACCACAAAATATAGAACTTGTAAGTGCTTTATTGTCTTTATATTAAAAAGTTGTGTGTTGCTTTCAAAATCAAGCAATCTTTGTAATCTCCTTTCCCTGCTTCTTCTATATA